GACCCGCGTGGGGCTCAGTGAGACCCACGTCGGAGCCACGGCTGCAGGGAGTGCCTGCAGCAGGGGACTACTTGCAGGGGACTGCCTCCCAAGCTAACTGCAGCGAAGTCGGCTGCAGAGAAGCTGCCTGCAGGGCGGGCTGCAGAGAAGCTGGCTGCAGGGGACTGCCTGCAGGGATTGTCTGCAGGGCTGTGGCCACGAAGCTGGCTGCAGACAAGCCGGCTGCAGGGGACTGCCTGCAGGGATTGTGTGCAGGGCGGGCTGCAGAGAAGCTGGCTGCAGGGACTGCCTGAAGGGATTGTCTGCAGGGCTGCTGCCACGAAGCTGGGTGAAGAGAGGCTGGCTGCAGGGGACTGCCTGCAGGGCTTGTCTGCAGGGCTGGCTGCAGTCACGGTGGCTGCAGGGGACTGTCTGTAGGGACTGCAGAGAAGCTGGCTGCAGGGGAGTGCCTGCAGGGATTGTCTGCTGGGCTGGCAGCAGGGAACCTGGCCGCAGGGCTGCCTGCAGGGATTCTGCAGGGCTGGGTTTGCTGTTTGCTGCAAGGAAGCTGGTTGCAGAGAAGCTGGCTGCAGGACTGCCTGCAGGGCTGGCTGCAGGGAGCCTGCAGGGGATTGTCTGCCAGCAGGGGACTGCCCGCAGGGGGCTACCTGCAGGGATCGTCTTTATAGATGTTCCCACGTGACCCATGTCGACCCACGTGTGGGGCCCACGTGGGATCCACCCAGGACACGCATGCGGGACTGTGTGTAAGCCATGTGAGGACCCGTGTGGACCCATCTGTCATGTCGGGCGTAAGCGTTATGTCGGCCCTGGAGCCGCGGGATGTGGTGGCCATGTTACCGTCCTGAGTGTGACACGTGTGCGCGCTGGGCCTCGTCCCCTACGTGTGGAAGCGCGTGAGCCATGTCACAGAGCGTGTGCCTCCCCATCGCCCGCCCCTCTCGGCACCCACGAGGAACCAAGATGTTAGGCGAGAGTTCTAGCCGTGAGGGAAGTGAAGCGCATGTCGACTTCTTGCCGTAGAGGCTCAGACACTTCTGTGTTGGTGCACGTAGGAACCGGTGCGGCAGAACCCTCCACGCGTCTTGAACCCTAGCCATGTCCGACGTGGATCAGAAGCGACAGACTGTGCAGCGTAAACGCAAAGCCTGTGGGGACCTGCGACAGCTTCTAGTGGAGGTGGGTGTGGATATTCCGGAAGACCTTCTAAGAGGTTCGGCACGAATATCGGAAGCAGGACTTTCACGCTTTAGCCGACGAGGCTGGGGGAGTTTTCGCCATTTTCTTGTCCTGGCTGTTTGCAGTTTCACGCAGGTGCTGGTTGCTTTAAGCGCCCGCTGTTCTATTCAGGCACGGGGCAGAGCCACGCCCGAGCAGACGGAGAAGCTGGAGTCCATCGTAGCCGTGTACAATGGCCGATTGCCTGAGGCCAGGCCGGGGGCTGCAAGGCTTTCAGGCTGTCAGCGTGCAGCGACGATAGCCTTCCGCTTGCGGATAATATTTTCTACCGTCAACTAAACAGGCTCGTTTTAAGAGCCGGGGTTTTCTCCCAGATGGCAAGAAGCGAAACCTCTGTTGGTTATGCAACAGGCGCACCGTTCAACCCCCCCGGGATGGGTGGGTGGGATCAAAAATTGTGAACGGTTCCGTGTTTGAGCCTTTGCGACCAAATACAAACAATTCTGCATGCTCTGAAAACTCATGTATGTCAAGCAAGAACATGACTCTGGTCTGCGTGCAAACAACGGTCCCCAAGTTTTTATACACTTTGGTAACAAACTTTCAACGGGAAAGGAAACATTAAAATCATTCGGAGAAAACCCCGGCTCTTAAAACGAGCCTGTTTAGTTGACGGTAGAAAATATTATCCGCAAGCGGAAGGCTATCTTCTACAATCAACTAAAGGGTTTTCCGATTCTATTGTAGGATTAAAGACTTTGTTGACAATCACAGGAGGAATCACTCTAGGTTTAACTCCAGAAGCTCACTCCTATTCAAATGAATTTGTCATCTCTGTAGACTATAGAGAGAATTTTTGGCTCAAGCCATTTTGGCTCAAGGCTCAAACACGGAACCGTTCACAATTTTTGATGAACCGAGGGTTCATGGATGTTCGACTCCTCTGAGGAATCTGCCACTGATTCTTCCTTGAGCTGGGATTGGGCGCCAGTTCCCCGAGCCCCGCCTTTTCAACCTGTGCGAATCCTTCCGCGACGCTTTCATTTGCAGCTGCTTCAGAGACGCGCAGGGGCGGCCCCGCATTTGTTTTCCTACGTTCTTGAAGCTTCCTTTGCAGGCGTACTCATCAGCACATCAGAGGGGTCGCGCATCTTCTTGTTCCTGACCGAGGCAGATTGGAGGGCCGTGGCCACCGCTGGACATCGATCCCACGCGTGCGCCCGGCAGCTTCTGGGCCTTTCCGCATAGCTTTGACCTCCCGGCACCATGCTAGGGGGTGAGTCGGGGTGCCTGGAAGAGACTGACCTGACAGAGCCTGACCTACCTCTCCTCGACGCGCAGGAGGTGCTTTTAGATCCTGGCTCGAGTTTCCTAAGCGAACCACCCTTTCCTTTGCCGGAATCAGGAGGTCTTGGTTTGTCTGATCCGGAAGATGCAATTGGGGAGGTCTCTGAAAAGGATTTTGAGCTTTCTTCCCAAGGGCAACCTGAGCAGCTTGATGGTGAGGTGCAATGGTATAACATGGTGCGTGATGAACCTCCTCAGTCGGATGTGGGTGCAGTTTGTACGAGTCCCCCTTTAGAGGATCGTCAGAGTCGTCTTCCTGATCTCGATCATATGCCCTCTTTTTCGTGTGATCAGCACATCCTGGCCATGCAAGAGACGGCCATGCTTTTCTGCATTAAGAAAGCCAGGGTTGAACGACCGCGTCAGCCATGGGAGAGTGGACCTTTCGGGGAGGTCTTCGGAAATTTCTCTGATCGGAATTCTCATGAAGAGTGGCTCTGGGCAAATGCTTTCTCTGAGGTTGGACTGCAGGAGTCCTTGGATCCTCCGAGGGCTGCGCCGTCCTTACCCACTTCGGATGAGGGCCTTTCTTGGGTCGTGGAAAAGAGGCTCCAGCACTTCCGCCTTGAGAAGTCTGATGAAGATCTGAGAAATCACGCAGTTAACAGACTCCGCAGTCTTGTAATGCTTGACCCCCTGGCTTCAAAGTTGGGATGCACCCTGGCGACTGACATTCGTAACTTGGCCTCGGAAGAGGACATTGCTTCGGCCTTTGACCACGTGTTCGTAATGAAGGCCGCCAGCACCATATACAAGAGGTCTTGTTCGCTGGGAAAGTTTGCAAGTTGGCTGATGGGCCGTAGTGGTTCCCCTTTGAGGTTCTCCGAGTCACAGCTCTACCAGTATCTGAAACACTTGGAGAAGAACGCGGGGGCTACTGCTGGTACTCATTTGCTCGAGGCAATTCGCTTCCTAGACGGCTTGGTGAAGCTTAACTTTGTAGACGTTGAGGAGGTGGTTTCTTCGCGTTGCCGAGGGCTAGCAAGACAGATGCATCTTGGCAAGCGCCCGCTGTGTCAGAAACAGGAGCTGACGGCTGGGCAAGTTGAGGTTTTGGAGCGGTTCATGATGAGGTGTTCTACACGCCATGGGTGCATTGCGGGGCAATTGTTGTTTTGCTTCCATGCTGGATCACGGTGGCGTGACTCTCAAACACTGCAGAGGATATTTGTGACGGTGGATGAGGACTCGGGATTTGAGCTTCTTCAGGGTGAGGCCCTTACTTCGAAAACCACCTATTCCCTTTCAGCGAAGTGCACTCTCTTGCCTTATGCGGCCATTGGTCTGGGGCTATCCGGAGTGCCTTGGGCCCGCAGGTGGATCACTGCTAGGAAGGCTGAAAACCTAGTGGATGGAACTCCTTTCCTCCCGACGTTCAGCGAGAGATCAGGGAGATGGGGTACATCCAAGATGAGCTCATCTGAAGCAGCGATCTATCTGCGCGAATTTCTCATGTCGGAGATTCCTGCATCAACTGGTTTGGAGAAGCTTGGGACTCACAGCCTCAAGCGAACCCTCCTCATGTGGGCTGGAAAGTCATCCGTGGTCTTCTTCAGCAAGTCGGACAGGAGATTGCTGGGGCACCACGTTGATCCGAAGGACCGCTCCATGCTGGTGTACTCGATCGAGGCTTATACCACCCTGTATGGCCGGGTATCTGCCATGTTTGAGAGTATCCGTTCCTTAGCCTTTAACCCGGATCTAAAGGCTGCCTCCCGCGTCGTGGCCGTTGCCGAGGGTCTGCTTCACGGTCCAGATCCTGATCAGGCGGCGTTTCCTTCGGAGGCACGTGAATTGGACAAGGACCTTGCTGAGGACTCTGATGCAGATAGTTTGGCCTCTTGCTCGGGAGTTGAGATGGAGGAACGTGATGGTCTTGCGAGGGTTAGGCCCCCCTTTTCAGATGTAAGCTGGAGCCAGTGTGTCACTCATGTCATTTCGGGAATCACCCATTTGAAGAGGGATGAATCCACTCTTCTTTGCGGACGCCCTTTGTCCGACAACTATAAGCCAACCGAGGCCGTTTCGGCGGTAGCACATTTTGAGCCCGACTGTTGCCATCAGTGCAATCGGGTGTTGCTATCGGAGCAGTTGCCCTAGCTAGCAAAAACCGCCCGAGCCTGGGGCATCCGAGCCCGCTGCTTCAGAGTCAAGTGCTTGTGGGCATCCGAGCCCGGGCTTTGCGCGTTGTGGGGCCTATATGCTGCTAATGTTTGTGTGCATGTGGGCATCCGAGCCCGGGCTTTGTGCGTTGTGGGGCCTTTATGCTGCTACTGTCTTGTGCATATCTTGTGTGTGGTTCGGCATCCGAGCTGACTGTGAGTCAAGGCGCACGTGGGCAGCCGAGCCCGGGCCGTGTCCTAGCTATGGGGGCCCATGTATGCTTTCCCTTCCGACTTTTATGTCATCTCCGAGTTGTCGGCTCAACTTGATCATTCGAGGAGTAGCATACCCTCCTTTTGGCTGTGTTAAACATGGCTAGTGCTGCACTGGATAGTGTTCCCCAGTTCAAGGACCGCGCCAAAAAGATTGGGGTCACAGATGAGGTGCTTCAGGAGTTGATCGCCGCCAATTTCGACACCTTCGGCAAGTTGTGTTTCGCAGCATCCTCCTCACCCCATCAGCTCGATGACGCTGCAGTGACTGCTTGGATGGAAGCCACTTTTGCCAACCCTTTGTCCCCATTTCAGACTGCTTGCATCAGGAGATTGATGTTTGAAAGTCAATCCATGAATATTGCTGAGCTGCGCTCCCGTGTCGAGCCCACTGGTGAGGCCCAGGTTCGAAAATTGCCCCCGGCAGAGCGTGCAGCAAGGGCCAAGGCCCAAGAGGCGCGTCTCCAAGGTGTTGTGTTCACTCCGGAGACATCCCCTGCCAATTGCCTCGTTGATCTGTTTGTCGACATGGGGGAACAGGGGATTCTCACTTACCTGGGTCCAGAAAGGTGCATCTCCCGTGCACAAGAGCTGCAGCTCTCTCGTAAGGACAAGTCCATTCAAGTCGAGGCCGATGGTCGGATGCGTGTGATCGCCCACTCGAAGGACCCTACTTGTGAGGTATCATCTGACACCAAGTTGAGGGCGGCCTGGCTACGTCGCTCTCTTGCCATGGACCAAGCCGGTCTTTGCAGCTTCATAGAAATCGAAAAGTGGGTGCAGCACTTGTTCTCCATACAGGCGCGTGAGGTTCCCAAAGGTTTCCAATCAATCAGTGTGCAGCAGCTCATATCTGCCGACAAAGCCCTGTTCATTTTCGCTTCCGAGAAGATGATCGGAACCTTGCTTGCTGCTCCCAACCAGCCTAAGCCGCTTGATGCGCAGATCCGTACCCTCATGTACGCCAACGAGGTGGTGCGGTTCCTCAATCCGCTCCCGCGTTTGCCCGAGCCTCACCTTCCCGGAAAGCCCCAGCTGAAGGGCCAGCCCAAAGGGGGGGGCAAGGGCACTACCCCCAAAGGGAAGCGGGATGGTAAGACTCCTGAAACTGCCTTGATCGTTCCCGAGGGCTGCGTGTCTAAGACAGTGGACGGCAAGCCCATTTGTTTCGGGTTTAACCGGGGCACATGTCGTTGGAATGGGAAAGGAAAACGATGCCAGCGGGGTTTCCATGTGTGCTGGAAGAAGGGCTGCGGTCGTTCTCGCCCTTTCCATGAGTGCAATCACCAGGACTGAAAGGATGGCCCGCCTCCTCCGCCCCCCGCGGGGGAGGCTGCCGGCCCTATAGCCCAGTCCACGGGTGAAGTCGGGGGAGTTTTGCCTTCTTCTGCGGAGGCCCTGGCCTCTTCTTTTCTCCAGCAAAGAACACCTTTGAGCCGTCAGCAAGCTTGTGAAGTTTTCGACCGGCTTCCCGCCCTAAAGTCCCGCCGCTCCGCTAAGACCGGGCCGGGGAAGACATTTGTGGTGGGGGCCTATGTGTTTTCCAACAACGTGGGCCTCACGGCTTCTTTCAGAGACTACCCTCAGTCGGCCCGCGTTTTCACCACGCTGGTGCGGCATTTCGCACCCCTGCATGCTTTCAGCTCCATCGCCATTTTTCAGAACCTTGAAGCGCCCGTGCATCAAGATGTGCATAATGCGGAGGGCAGTTTGAATTTCCTCATAGCTCTTTCAGACTTTCAGGAGGGCGCCATCATCGTCGAGGACCCTGATGGCCCGGAACGTGCTGTGCTTCGAGACCAAGTCATGCGTGGTCGAGTCATACCTTGGCACTTGCATACCCTGAGCTTTGATGCCCGTAATCAGAAACACTGGACCCAGCCTTGGAAGGGTTCCCGCACTGTCCTCGTGGCCTATAGTGTTCGGGACTTACACTTGCTGTCCGAGCAGGACGCTGTTCGCCTGCGTGATGCAGGTTTTCAGTTAAGTTCCCCTAAGCCCGAACCCCCGCCTGCCCCGCCTGGCCCTAACCCTGCACTGGCTCTTGAGCTTTTCGCGGGCCGTGGCCGGCTCTCGCAATGCTTGCGCGCCGCGGGCTTCCAGGTCGTCTCCGTGGATCATAAGGTTCGCGGTGCTCTGGTCCCCATTTGCCAGTTGGACTTGTGCAATGCTGCCTGTCAACAAATGATCCTTCACCTCCTGCAGACTGTACCGCCGGCTTTCGTCCATCTGGGTTTTCCATGTGGCACGTCCTCCCGGGCCCGTGACCGCCCTGTGCCTCCGCATCTTCGACTCGCAGGGGTCCCCGACCCGAAGCCCCTTCGGTCTGCCGAGCACCCTCTAGGACGCCCTGACATACGCCCCGACAGCGTGGATGCCTTGAAGGTTGCCGCGGCAAACGAGCTTTACCGCTTTTCGGCCCAGGTCCTTCGCTGGTGCCTGGAAAACAATGTGCCTGTCAGCTTGGAGAACCCAGCCCGGAGTTGGGCTTGGGCCGTGCTCATGATTCATGTGCGTGAATGGCCGCTTGCCACGCAACGCGCCTTTAATCGCTTGTCCCAGGTTCTCTTTGATGCCTGCGAGCATGGCGGCAGCCGCGCCAAGCGAACGAAGTTGTTGGCGACCGCCGGTCTCTTTGAGCCCCCGGCCGTTCTCTGCTCAGGTTCCCATGAGCACCTCCCCTGGGGAGTGCGACCTCATTTTTCCCACTGGCGCTTCAACACGGCTGATGAGGCCGAGTATCCTGCTCTTTTGGCACAGTGCATGGCCGCCCGGGTCCGAGTGTTCGTGCAAGAGTCCCGTCCCTCAGTCTTTCAGTCCGAGCTGCGCTTGCGTGACCTCGCCTCTGCTGCCGCGCAAAAGCAGCGTCGCCGCCACCCGCCTCTCTTGCCCGAGTTTGCAGAAGTCCTCTGGGTCCCCCGCGGCCAGTCGAGTCAGCCTCAGTTCAAGACCTTGACTACTCTCTCAACTAAGGGGGTAGATTTGGGAGAGGATAAGAGGCTGCCGGAGGATAGGTCCCAACCCGCTGCCCCTTCCCCTTTGGGTTTCCCTAGTTCCCCGGCCTTAGGGGTTAACACAACTAAGGAGACCCCAAGCCTGGGTCAGGGGGAGGAGGACTTCGTCAGGGTTGGGCGTTTCCGATCCCCGCAGGAGTTCTTCGACAGGGCTATCACTTTGGCACATCCTGTCGACACGGTCAACCCAGTGGACCAGAGCACCCTAGATGCAATCGACTTTTGCGCCAGTCAGTCTAAGCAACATGTGGACATGATCAGAAAACTTGCCATCTTGAAACTTAAATTGCTGATTAAAAAGCTTGCCCCAGAGGAGAGGCGCTTGCACCAGAGGCTGCCGGCCTCTGTTCAAAAGGTCGTTCGCAACAAGAATCTTCTGGCATGGCAGGCTTTGCTTCAGGAACACGGTTTTGACGACATGGATGTTTTCCGCTTGATGACTGAGGGGGTGCGAGTGACGGGCTCGCAACCTCACCCTCCAGCGTTCGATGTGAAGCTGGTGCCGGCGACGCTCTCTGTCCAGCAGCTTCGCGAAACGGCGAAGGTCCGTCGTCAGGCCATGATCCTTGACCGAGGCAGGCCGGGCGACCCTGAGCACCCGAGGCTCCTCCTGGAGTCGACAATGGAGGAGGTAGACCGTGAGTTCCTTGAGGGCCCATTTACGCAAGAGGAGGTGAACCAGGTCCTGGGGCATGACTCATGGTGCACCATGAGGCGTTTTGTTCTTGTCCAGGGATCCGAGAAAAAGCTGCGCCCGATCGACGACGCCAGTGAGAACCAGGTGAATGCAGCCTGCACCAGCACGGTGAGGTTGCAGCTGCAGGACCTGGACTACGTTTCGGCGGTTGCTCTGGCCATCAGTCGTCGCCTGGGGGCGTTGCCAGAGAGCGAGCCCTGGAAGGGGAAAACCCTTGACCTCTCCAAAGCCTACAAACAGGTTCCGCTTAGTCCACAGGACAGAGACCTGTGCGTCGTCTACTTCAAGGGCCCGGACGGTAAGGACCTTTTCTTTATCCCGAACGCCCTAATGTTCGGGGCTGTGGCTGCCGTCTACAGCTTCAACAGAATCTCCCGCAGTATTGGCTTCTTGCTGAATCGACTTTTGAAGATTCCTTCCTGCTGCTACTTTGATGACTTTCCGCTTTTCAGCCCGTCCTCTTCTGCCTGTGAAGCAGACGCATCAGCCAGTGAGTTCCTATCCCTCCTGGGGTGGGACCATGCCCAGTCGGGTTCAAAGGGCCTTCCCTTTGAGTCGTCCTTCGCAGTGTTGGGCACTGTTCTCGACTTGTCACAAGTCCACAAGGGGCAGATCACGTTGGTTAACAAACCAGGCCGTGTGGAGAGGATAGTTGAGGAGTTCACCCGGGCCTCCGAGGTTACTGCTGTGACTCGGCATCACCTACAGGTCCTCCAGGGACTGCTCAACTTCGCATCTGGTTTCCTTTTGGGTCGGGGGCTGAAGCACATGTGTAATGAGCTTTCCGACTTGGGCCAGTGGCCGCACCCGGCGGCGGTGGACACCCTGCGTGACATTGCAAAGAGACCCGAGGATATCCTTAGGCACTCCCCGCCCAGAGTTCTTGCCGCATCCGCCATTTTGGAACCTATTTTCATCTGGACAGATGGAGCATGGGAGCCGCCGAGGGCAGGGGTCGGGGTTGTGTTCTTTGATTCCCTTTCGAGGGAAGGCAGGGTGTTCGAGGGATTAGTTCCGGATTCCTTCCTGCAGCAGTGGGCGTCTGAGCAAGGGCATGCCCGGGATGAAGCCTTCCTCATTTGTCAGATTGAGCTTTTCGTCTTATCCTGGGTGCGCAATGCCCTCAAGGAGCGTCTTCACCATCGTCGTGTGATATACTTCTGCGACAATGACGCTGCCCGATACGCAGCAGTCCGAGGTTCAAGTCGGGTGTCATCGATGCTTGATCTTATCTTTGCCTTTGACGCTCCCGACCGTGAGTACCCGAGCATAAGCTGGATCTGCAGGGTCCCTTCGTTTTCCAACATCTCGGATGCTCCATCACGGGGCAGAGGGATTGAGGTCCTGGAGATCTGTGGAGCTTTGAAAGTTGAGCCGATGGAGGGCATGGACTCCATGGCTTCACTGTGGGCATCCAGGCGCAAGCGAAAAGGGGGTTGAACGGTGCGCCTGTTGCATAACCAACAGAGGTTTCGCTTCTTGCCATCTGAGGCAGGGGCGGTGGCAACTTTGATGCGACCTTCGCGTGCAAACCCCCTTTCGAGCTTCGCGTGAAAAAGGATCGCAAAATGTCACACTGATTATTGTGACGCTCATGGAGACATCTTATGTGGGATACATTCCTGAATGTGAGTTTTTATACATTCTCTCTATAGTCTACAGAGATGACAAATTCATTTGAATAGGAGTGAGCTTCTGGAGTTAAACCTAGAGTGATTCCTCCTGTGATTGTCAACAAAGTCTTTAATCCTACAATAGAATCGGAAAACCCTTTAGTTGATTGTAGAAAGGCTCCTCCTCTACCCGGAGCAGCCCGGCCCGAGGCTCCTCAGCCACGTGAGCGTGAGGCTCCTGACCCTGGAGCAGCAGCCGTTGAGCAGGAAGGTCCGTGCGTCGTGTCATGATGGTTGTTGAGATAGCTGAGAGCTTCACAAGGGTCATGGCGCTGTGTGTGCTTTGACCGAATCTGGAGGTTCGCCAGCTGGCTTCCGGCTGCGATCGCGATCATGCCTGTTCACGTACAACAGCTTGACTCTCGCTGAAGGAACCTGGGGTGACTTCTTGGCGTGGCTGGACACTCTGGAGTTTTTGGTGCAGTGGACGGCCACACTGGAAACATCCACGCGCTCTGCAGATGCAGGAAGGCTGCACTTGCACGTGTTCATGGAATTCACGCGGGCTGTGGATTGGAGCACTCTTTGTGCTGTCAGCTTCCGCGGCATTTGCCCAAACGCGCAGCCTACCCAGGGTCGCGGCGCCAAAACTCGCGAGGTCATGAACCACGGCCATTTTTATGTGTTTGCCCAGAAGGCAGTAAAGCACGCAGTAATGAGCTTAAAGAACCTGCGAGTGTTCCAGCAGGAACTGTCTTACAAACTGCAAGTCGCCTTTCAACAGGAAGGTTTGGTTAGCACCGACATCCTTGAGCATCTAGATGAGGAGACCATGCATATGCTCGAGGATGATGGGCATTCGGGTAGTGCTCTTAGCCCCGAATTTTGTGCGAAGATGGAACAAATGGCAGCGCGACCTTCCTGCATTTCCCTTCTCCACAGACAAAGGGTGATGAAGTAGAGTAAGCGATGTTGTCTTGGCAGACGGTCAGGAAGCGGCGTAAGCAAGTTGGCTGACGTGTGCAATGGCTTCGCGCTGGACTTCATGGCTCTCAGGTAAGGCTGCCCAGTCTTCTTCTCCTCTGCCCCTTCTTGACCGGGTAGGTTGCCGTTTCTGTGCCATGGCGTTGCAAGAACCCCTCGGCTTTGGGACCCAGCAGCCGCCCACATTGGTTGCCCCACCGCTCATCGCTGGACGAGACAATACTTGGATCACAGTGTGTCATGGCAATGCGACCCTCCCCTTTGTGGTATCTCGGCCGAATGACGACTCTGGAGAGGCCAATGCGGTGGTGCTGCTTCTCCCAGGTTGTGGGCACTTTTACGTGGAAAATATGCACCCGCTGCCCTGGCAAGGAGCCATCGAACACCTGTGGAGTAACTTGGCCTTCAAGAGGGCCGTCATCGCCTGTGCTTGGCCAGTGGCAGGGCAGGCTGGCTCTCCGCCCGCCTGGATGCTACCTGACGGAGCCGCCTGGACGAAAGCTGTGTATACCATGGAGATCTTGGCGCTCTTGCAGGCTGCCAAACGTGATGTGAGCCCTCACATTTCCTTGCCGACGTACCTCATTGGCCTGGGCTCTGGAGGGACCATTGCCTACCAGATTGCAGTCTCCGAGACCCCGGCGAGCTTTCGGGCCCTTTTTCCTCCATTTTAACTTTCCCCTTTCGTCTTCTTGACAGCCAGCCTCCCGAGGCGGTCTTCGCAATCTTCTCGCGATACCAGGCTCAAAGATCCCTGGCCTTACTGCACACCGTGCCCAGGGAGAAAAAGGGAGACCATAGTGTTTGTGGATCACCACTCACTATTGCCACCGCACCCCCACCCCCGCATGTTGCCAAAAAGCATCTCGCCAGGAACCGATTACCATGGCAGCACAACCACAAGGAAGAGGCCCGACCAGCATCCATGCAGCTATGGTCTGTGCTCAACAAACATGACTGGCAAAAGCATGCAGAGCTCATCCCCACGACTTTTGTGCACGCAAGGAACGCTGGCAACAGTCTAGCAACGCAATGCTCATCCGAGTTTGGCTCGAAGAAAATGGGGAAATCCCCTGCCGCGAAGGCACGACAGGCATGCAGGCCGCCAACTCGCTTCCGAGCACCGGATAAGACCCCGGAGGGGGAGCGCTCGGCTCACCTTTCGGAATGGAGGCCCGAAAGGTTCCCTTGGAATCCTGAAGGCTGGTATCAGACGCCGGCAAGAGGACGAGTGAACTACACTGGGCCTCTGGGGCGTGGATGCAAAAACCGCCCAAGCCACCGAAAGCGGTGAGGAGGGATGCAACGCACGAGAGGGCCACCTCATCCCACACGGAGACTGTCTCAGTGCGCAGGATCCCACCGCGACCTCCACCGGCACCGAGCAGGAGCGGACAGGCCAACCTGGAAGATACCACCGCCCGGCCACAAGGCCTGCTGCTGGCAGAGACACGTCCAATGGAAGAAGCGCCCACCCTGGATGACATGGACGACGAGCCAGTGGCCACCATGGGTGCAGAAGGCGTGGCCAACATGGAGGTGAAGCACGAAGGCCCTGAACTGCAACCAGACTTCACGGAACATCAGCTCCAGGACCTTCAAAACCGACTACTGGGTTATGTCATCCCCGGAGCCCTAGAGCAGGGAGCCACAGAGGCGCGCGTAGCGGACGCCATGCAGATGCTTTGGGTGCCAGTTTTGGAACAGCGACTGTGGCGAAGCACCACGCGCTGTCTCCTATGCAACACACATCAGGATGGACTCCTCGCCTGGAAGCACCATCTCCTCATGCGGACCCACCGTCACTTGATGTCAGCCGCCACGCAGTTCTGGTTCCGAGCCTACACCACCATGAGCGTGTGCGAGGACATACAGCAACCTGATAGATTTTCAACAGCCCTTGCTGCTTTTCCCACTGGTTGCATGAATAGGAAAGGTTGCCCCCCTCTCCAACCACCCAAAACGACCCCCTCTTTACTCGCTAGGCACCCCCCTCGCTCTCAATGGCCCTGCCTCATCTCCAAACCATTGCACCAAGTCCGGCATAGCCAAGGCGAGCGCAACATGTCACCAAAGAGATCCAGGAGGACACGCCAAGGGTGCATCAGAATGGAGCCAAAGTACAGATCCCCAGCTGGCCAAAACGAGCGGCAGCCTACCATTTTGCACAGGCGGTGGAACGTATGCACTCCCCAGCCTGATGGTCGACCAGAAGTGTTTGAAACAGCCATGCGAGCAAAAACTTCAGATGGACTGCAGGAGTGGAACCCACAAGTCAGCCCTCCGCACCAACAACCATCCCGGCACCCCAAGCATGCCTGGAACAGGTCCAACTGGCGAAACGTCCGCCAAGAACCCATGGCGTTACATCGTCGCCTCTTCCTGCCACCAAGAAGGTCACACGAGTCTGGCTCTCTTCGGGGGGCGAAGTGCGTTACAGCTTGCCCGGTCCCAAGTCCGGGCAGCGCACATCAGACCCACCAACCGAAGGCCGACAGGGCCTCGCGACATCGTGCTTTTTCTTCATATGTGCGCTGGGGGTGAGGGTTGCAGTGATTGCCCTGTCACTGCTGAAGTCACAGATGTTCGCAGGTACGGCCTATGGAGGTCTGGCGAACATAAGGGCCTGGCTCTCAGGAAACACAAGCGACTACTGCACATGCAATTTCAACAACCCCCAGAAAAACGGCGAAAATAAACATCGACAGGTCAAGCGTACAGGGAGCACCCGACGCTTATGGCAAACCTGGATCTGGCTGCTTTGCTTGATCATGAGCATCCATGTTACGGCAGCGACGCCTGGAGTTACTGAGCAGAACGGAGGAACCCCTAACACCTTTTCCTGGATAAGGAAGCGGGCGTTTCGCAGAGCCCGTGCCCGAGCCCAACAACATGGCGGCACATGGTACAAAGGGAAAATGGCACACCCCTTCAACCCTGGGTGCTGAGGGATACCACGCCACTTGGTCTCTTGACCGGCCTGCGCCTCACCCTCAGCGGGCACCCCATCAACAAGTGCACACGATGAATTCCTCACATGGGCGAATCATCCACCACACCCTTGGGACATCATATGCCTACAGGAAACTGGATGGACCTTGGAGCAGCAGTTCCAGGCAGGCAATTGGCACATCGTGTGTTCAGGACATGCACGTGACCGTAACAGCGGTGTTATGACACTTGTCTCACGCACACTCCTTCCGGCGGATCGGATTAGATACTCCGCCATCCATGAAGGTAGACTTCTTTGGGTCAAACTTGAGTTCAAAAATCATCACGTGGACATTCTAAATGTCTATCAGCACGTATGGAATACCGCTGCACAAGTGCCAAAACTTCTTCATCAACGTGATAAAATTTGGACGAAACTGAACCAAACGATTTGCCACCTTGCTGTACGAAACACGCTGATCCTTCTTGGAGATTTCAATACACCACTCACGACGGCTGAAAATAGAGTTGGAAAGGGAGTTATTAGTAGAAACAACCCACCGCCAGACCACACCACCTTTGATGCGATCCTTGAGGCGCACGGACTTGTTGCCCTCAACACATGGGGCCCACCTGGGCTAGCAGCCACGTTCAAATCGGAAACCGCCGCCGCCCAAATTGATTTCATCCTTACCAGAAGAAGAGCAGCTGACTCCGAGGCAAGACGAACCAAAGCGGACAATACCCTCAACCTTTTCGAATGGAGAGGAGGCGGTAGGCACCTTGGAGCTCATGGCACCCTTCCGTTCCGACTTTACCAGAAGACTCCAATGCCGGCCCCCAACTACGACAAACAGGCATTGCTACACGCTGCACAACATCGAACAGAAAAGTTCGCTCAACTTGAGTCTG